TCTACTTCTGCAGGTGACTCTACTGCTCACCGATATGACAGAGTTCCCACTGTCCCCTCACACTCCATTATCTGCATCCTTAACCTCTGTTTTGCCACACCATAAAGGTTGTGGTGTTCCATACGAGGCAGAGGCCATGAACATTGAGAAAGCCTTAGCAGACGGGAACTTGCTGGAAGTGGTCTCTGCCATCAGAGAGACTGTGCAGAGAGCCTCCAGGACTCCAGTCAACATTGCTGTGACAGGGGACTCTGGCAATGGCATGTCCACCTTCATCAATGTGCTTCGGAACATAGGACATGAGGAGGCAGCCTCGGCACCCACCGGGGTGGTGAAAACTACCCAAACACGTGCCTCCTATTTATCTTCCCATCTTCCAAATGTGGTGTTGTGGGACTTGCCTGGCACAGGGTCTGATATCGAAACTCCGGAGAACTATGTGATGAAGATGCAGTTCAGCCAGTACAACTTCTTCATCATCATCGCATCTGAACAATTCAGCATGAATCACGTGATGCTTGCCAAAGCCATCCAGGACATGGGAAAGAAGTTCTACATTGTCTGGACCAAGCTGGACCTGGACCTGGGCACCAGTACCCTCCCAGAAAGGCAGCTACTGCAGACTATCAGAGAAAATATCCTGAAAAATCTCCAGAAGGAGCAGGTGTGTGAACCTCCCATATTCCTGGTCTCCAGCCTTGAACCTTTGTTGCATGACTTCCCAAAGCTTAGACGTAACTTGCAAATGGATCTCTCCGAAATTAGGTGCCATGGCCCTCTTCAAAACCTGTACCACACCTGTGAGAAGATTGTTAATAACAAAGTGACCTCCCTGCAGAAGAAAATAACCACAGAGTCCTTCCAGGATGCCTTAGGCATCTTGGATGCAGATGATGTGGCAGAGTGTCTGAAAGCCTATCGATTGTTCTTTGGTGTGGCTGATGAATCCCTCTGGCAGGTGGCACAGGTAATGGGGAGCTCACTCACAGACTACACAAACATCATGATGTGCTGTGATGTGCAGGGTATCAACAGAAAGGACTGGAGACTGATTTGCATGACTTGGACCGTCATAAAGTCATCCGTCAGCCTTCTTAGCTACATCCCACGGTTAGGTGATTATATCACCTCCTACGTCAGACAAGTGAAACAGAAATGCTTCCTTCAGATAGTTGCCAAGGACACCAAGACTATCCTAAAGAAAGTCATGAACGACTCCATCATCCCACACAGTGAGAGC